CCTCTATCTAACTCGGTACTGTCTACACTGACTGGCAACGGTCAGACCAGGGGACAAGCTGGGACCTTCTGCATAGAAAGCAGGTGCTCTACTACTGAGCTATGGCCTCCCCACTTTAAGAAGCAAGCATCTTCCTTTGGAATAACAACACCCGAAGCAGCTCTCGGTCTGTTGGGATCCTGACGCTGTCCACCCCAGGCAAGTAGAACTTCTTTTCGAGAAGTCCTTGACTTGGTCGTTCCCAGTTAAAAAGAAAAATATTTCCACCAGGAGTGCAGAGCTTTAGCCTAGCTGGCCTCCTGTCTAGCCTAGAAAAAGGAGGGGGCGCCTTCTCATTCATGCCCGGACTGGAACAAATCTATAATCACTAACATGACTCCTCCACTCATCGGAGAAGTCTTGGCACTGGACCAAATGTCGTGATATATTTTCATTTACTATACATTTGAGATTTGTGTTTGCAGGGCTCACACCCTATACCTGTGATTGTAATCTGTTTTAATTGTTTTTAATTTTTCGATTTTAAATTGTTGTAACCACTCCTGGAACCTGCTAAAGGGCAAGTAATAAACGTAATAATGATGAAAATATTGATAATGATAAACTTGTAATATACACCTATTTAATAGCCAGTCTATAAGGCTTCACAAAAAGATAACTCTCTACCCTCCCCCCACAATAGAATCCCATTCTGCTAATTACCCAGTCTGTATATTAGTACTATAATACCATATATACCGGATGCTTATTACTCAGAAGTAAGACCCACTAAGAGGAATATTATGTGCAGTAAGTAAAAAGAGGTAGTTTATGAAACGCTAACAACTTATTACCCTGTTTAAAGCCATTTAGAGACTTGTTTAAGTACGGTACTAAGCGGCATATAAGATTAGGCAGGGGGGAAGCGTGAGGTGCAGGAACGGTCACTAACCGGAAGAGTTTTGCAGTTCAGTTAGACTCTGAGGTTGCAGTCCTAAATATACCCACGTACTCCGGGAGTAAGCCCCATTGAATACAATGGGACTTCTAATTAGAAGCGCCTAGAATTGCAAACTCCTGCAGTCTGAAAAGTTCCTTAACCTGAACTGCCACTTGGGGAGACCGCGTTGTGCTGCCTAATGACATTTGGGGTGGAAGAGGATTTCCAAAAAATCAAAAATTATTTACTTTATAAAAAAACAAAACACTTCACGTATAAGTCCAAAGGACTGAAATATGCTAAATCAACGAAAAATATTTGCTTTTATTTGGTGCGTATAAGGGAATTGAAGGGAATTTTGGCACACGCACCCTCTTTATAAAAGCAAATCTATTATTATTATTATTATTATTATTATTATTATTATTACTATTACTATTATTATTATTAGCGCAAGTGCCTTGAAGACGGTTGCGTCCCGAGCTGGCTGGGGAACCTCTTGTTCACGTTCCCTTTTTTCTTTGGGGAGAACAAAAATTGAAATGGATTACACTTTTATTTCCTCACAAAACTGACAGTCCAGGCCACAACTTAACTTGCTTTCCTTGAGGAGGAAAGTCCCTAAGAAACGGGTCTCATTTATGGGACAACAGCGGAGCCAAGCATCAGAAGTGCAGGATTATTAATAGGAACACAGGAAGAAGCTGGCCGAGTGCCACAATTGGTCCATCTAGCTCAGTATTCCGAGCAGGATCCCTCCCAGCCCTACCTAGAGACGGCTCTAAGGATTAGAACCTGGGACCTTCCGTCTCCAAGGCAGGTGCTCTGCCCCTGAGCTACGGTGGTTTCTGCTCAGATCCTGTTCCTCGGGCTGAGTCTCATCCTGCCCTCCCAAGCGGCTCATGTGATCCACTTTCAACCAGCAAGGATACAGGAGTGTGTGTGTGTGTGTGTGTGTGTGTGTGTGTGTGTGTGTGTAAGAGCGGGGCGGGGTGGGGACGACGACGATTAAATGCAGCCATCAAGAAAAGCTTAGGTTACAGCTTTGAAATTTATTAAAACCTTGTCAGTTTCAAAGGCGTGGCTTTGTGGATTTTACTACGTTGTGGATCAAGGGGGAGCTGAAAAGCGGAGGTCGTGATTCAGCTGGGAGGGCAGATCCAGAATGTAGGAACACACACACACACACACCTCCACAAGACAAGGAAGGATCAACACACCCGCGCGCTTTTTCCTATTGTGTTAAGGGGTTATGGATGGAGGGTCTGTCTGCAGGAACAAAAAAGTCTGAGCAGAAACTTCCAACAGCCCGTCAGTTGGTGCCGGGCTCCCGCCCCTCCCCTCCTTCTCCTCCCCGCGCCCTCCGACAGCTTGCAACCGTCCTAGGGCCCCCCCTCTAGGGAAAGAGTTCAACTCCCGCCGAGAGAGCGCCTCCCCGGCCGCTCCAGCGGCCGCTCGCAAGCTGCTGAGTCGAAAGGGACCGTCTCGGAGAGGTGGAGAGTCCAGAGGAAAAGAGGGAGAAAAAAGGGGAAGATAAATTGAGAGGAGAGGAAGAAAGGAAATGTTTTTTTAAAAAAGATAAATTGAGAATTGGGCGGTGGGGGGTGGGGACCGAAATAAAATAACAGCCTGGGGGTGAATGCCAAATAGAAATATCATAGCACAGGATCGGGTCCAGGGCTGTAGTTCTAAGCACTTGTTAGTACGTCTCAGCGAGGCCTTGCAGCGCAATCCTAACCACGTATACTCAAAAGTAAGTCTGACTGAATGCAATGGGTCTTACTCTCAGGTAAGTGGGGTTAGGATTGCTGACTTAAAAAAAAAACTCCCTAAGTTCTAGTGGGGAGCATGGCCCTTGAGATCAATGGAGCTTACTTCCTTGTAAACACTATTAAGAACCAGGAAGGTTTAGGGTTCAATGATATTCTGCACGTCAACTCAGGAGGCTTTAACGCCGCCATGATCCCTCTGAATTTAGCAAGACTTACTCCTTGGGAGAAACATTGCTCGGATTGGCCTGTGGGCAGGAAACAGCAACACAAATCACCCTTTTTTATATAGAAAGGGAGACTGCTTTAGGATTCATTCCTTCTGGGATCTGGTCAATTTCAGGGGGGTTGGTGTTCATTTCGATGTGTGTTTTACAACCCTAGAGACATAAAAGCTCTACCGTGTATTGTTATTGTTTGTTAGTTTGTTTATTTGTTCGTTTTAACAATCCAGGTCCTCCCAAAAACATGCCCTTTTCCTCTCATGCCCTTACTGCTCTTTTCCATCCCCGTTGGAATCTCTATGCGTGTGAACTTTCCTGGGAGAATCCGGTAGGTCTTTTATCAGACCAGAGAAGGCCGATCTGATGTCTCTTTCCTGAGAGGATATTATTCGGGGGCGGACACGGGGGTGGGGAGATCACACTATATCATGCAAAGTCTCTTTTGGACTTTAATGTAGCCGTATTTTTCGTTGACTTCGAGCTGTCTTCCAGAGAGGTTGAGCGACGTGGCGGCGTCTCTGGTGCGCCTTCTGAAGTGGAGTTGAGAGGAAAGCGCCCCGGAACGTAGTCGGTTCCAAGGCTGTAAAAAAAGGGGTGGCGGTAGTTAAGGTTGGTGGTGTATAACCGGTATCTCAAAACGTGGAAGAAAGCGATGATCTGAATGGAAGTGGTCCTCCTCCAATCTTAAATTCAGTTTAAGACATGTAAAAATTACAGTAAAAGACCCCACAGATCTTTTTATTTTCTGTCGACGCAACTGGATCTTTCCTAGTCCCTTAATAAAGCCTTCTTGGTTTCAAATGAACGAGCATCTCGTTAAGAATCCTGAACTGAGAATTCACCACCAGAGTACTGTACCAATAACTTCAACAAACTAGGTTGGAAATTTCCCCGATTTTTATTTATTTTTTAAACAAGTTCCCTTGACATTCTTGGGACTTTTTATCTTTTCCAAACCGACCGTGTGTTTGTTATTGGTGTGTGATTGATGCCACTCTGGGTTCAACAGAACATCTGTGCAAATGAAATGTGTGGATACAAAAATAAATAACTAAATAAATACATTTACTTGTCGGAGAATGCTTCGTTCATAAGTTCAAATTTAGGATCAAAATCATGGATTTTTCCTCAAGTATTATTACCACCGTATGAACCAGCCACTGCCAATAAACACAGCCAAATCGTATGCATTTACTTGGAAACAAGACTCACTGAGTCCAGTGGGATTTACTCCCAGGTAGTTATACGCGTAGCTTTAATTCTTACACAAACCACGAAGCATCTACCATCCGTTTACAAAACACCAGCTAAGGCTGGAATCCAGGGCGACTTAGTTGGGGCCAACCCCAGTCCCGGGGATTTTCTTTCGAGTAACAATACATAGAGCTGCGAAATTCAACGCTCGCTCGCTCTTTTAAGAATACAATAATCAATAGGATTCTTCTTAATCTTTCCAATTTAGGCCAGATAGAGTGTCGCCGATTATAGAAAGTGTTTTGCTGAGGAAAAGGTAATGGCATCAAATGGATTTTTTTTTTTGGCGGGGGGGGGGATTGTTAGAACAATTTCAAAGAGCTTAAGTTTGTTTTTTAAAAAAATAAAAAAATCGCTTGCCTGGCTTTTGCTGAGTCCTTATATAATTATCCTTTTTCTGTGAAAACGCGCACACGGTTATATTTTAAAAAAAAAAACTTTCATCAGCACGCATAAAGGGAGACAATGATTCAGCTAATTGTGAACCTAAAATAAGCAATTTTAAAAATGCACCCAACTTCACACACACACACACACACACACACACACTAGATCTCCCCCGCACGCACACACACCGCATTGCTAATAACCCTATTTAGAACTTCATCAGTGGCGTAATGATAGGAAACAGGGTGGAAATTGCCGGTTAACAGTCGGATCTGGGCTGTAATTAATTCAGTGTCTCTTTTAATCAAACCGAGGAGCGATCAAGTTTCCTTGGTGTGTGGCATGTGTGTGACATCACCCTAAAAGCTGGCCAGCCAATCAGGAGAGAGGCAGTGAGGCACGTGAACTTGGGTTCTTGGTTTAAAAAAAAAAAGTAGAGGAGGAGGAAGAAGGAGAAGAAGAATTCCAAACTAAACCCAGCAAGTTGAGAGGTGTGAGCGCCGATTAAAAAGGGAAGCACTTTCCGCGGGGCGGAGCTGAGCTGTCCTTGGTCCTGAAAGCAACGCGGCGTTCCTACTTCGCCTCCAGCATCAGGGACTTTTGCAGGCAAGGCGGCTTCGGAAGGCGACCATGGGAGGCGGTGGCGCGGCCGCGGTCCCAACCCTCCAGTCTAGGCGCTTTCAAAGGTGCTGAAACGTCCTTCCAAACTGCCGCTTTTTAACGCGTTCGCCTTCTTGAGCAGAGACGGACCTCGAACAGAGATCGCCTGCGCTGTCCCCGGTCCTGAAACCTCCCTTTCCTTAGGCGCTGGTACGAAAAGGAGAGCTCGCTCTTCGTTCTGTAATCCGTGCCTCTCGCTTGCCTCATTCACTGCTCTTTAAAAAAAGAAAATCTTGTTATGGACTCTTTAAAAGTTCATTGTTTGGTTAAGTCATTTCCTATAATTTAGGGCTGATGGATCTATGGTTAGCGGTGGCGATTGCGAATAGTTCAGATTAGGGATCTTTCTCCCTACGAGCAAAGTTTCACTTTCGCCACCCCTACTCTGGCTCCTGTCTTCCCTTCCCCTCTTTCTCTCCCTTGTCTCCTTCCCCTCATCTCTGCAGCTAGCTTGACTGCAGGTTTTCAAGAGGGACAGCGCCTTGGATCGTAATACGGACCGGCGATTGTTGCTGCACTAACTTTGGATCCGAAGTCCCGCAGTTCCAAGGTCGCTCTTCTTCTTCTCGAGTCTAATCCGGACACCGGCTGGTCAATGTCACCCTGAAAGGCATGGAAGGTGCCAACGGATTTGGGATCGATTCCATCCTGTCCCACCGAGCCGGGAGCCCCGCCGTGCCCAAAGGGGAACCGCTCATGGGGGAAGGACGCTCCCCCTTGGAACTTAGTCCCCGCTCCGAAATCAGCAGCGGCTGCCCGTCGCCCCACTCTCCCGGGAGGGAGTGCTTGGAAGCAGTAGCCCAGAGACAAGGTGTGGCAGTGGGGCTGGAGTCTCACCTCCAAGCGGGGCAAATCTTGGCCCCTTCACAATCCAGAACAGTGACCTCCTCCTTCTTAATCAGGGACATCTTGGCCGATTGCAAGCCTTTGGCAGCCTGCGCCCCATATTCCAGCAGCAATGGACAGAGCGCGCAGGAGGCACCGGTTCGGATTCCCCCCAAATCCGGAGAGGACTTCCGGGAGAAGATGGACAAGAACAACAGCAGCAACTCCTCTTCGGACACAGAATACAAAGGTAAGGAGAGTTACTCCTAACTCTATACCAGCGCCTGCTGATTTCTGAATGAGCCCTCTATTTCTGAACGAGTAACACTCGCGCACACATACTGTACAAATAGAGTTTTCCCTTCCCGTTGGGGTATCTCCTAAGAACCAAAGCTGGTCGATCTAGCTCACCAGCGGCTTCCGGACAGCAAACCCGCATGTTGCTAGTCCTCGGGATCTGGTATTCAGAGGTGCATGTGGACATGCAAGTTCTTCTTACCCCCACCCCTTTCTCTCTCGGAAGGTTGGAGGATGAAGGACAGGATAACATTCGGTTGGCCTGATTTGGGATATTTCCTCTTTTTCTGTTTGTTTGTTTGTTTGTTTGTTTGTGTCGTTAGTTCAATCTGTAAAGTTCCGAATTCTGCTAAAAATATTATATTTGGAGGGAAGGAAGCTAATATGAGAACCTGGCGGAGATAAATACGAAACTTCTTTATTTGCGCCTTTAACTCCGCATAACCCAACCACCTGCCTGTTTCGATTGTTACTTCCATCTATTTTGCGCCAGCGATCCTCCTCCATGTCTCAGAAGCAAAACCTATTGAGCTCAATTAGATATACTCTCAGGAAAGTGGGTATAAGGGTTGCAGCCCGAGTGTTTCTATAGTCACCAGGATATTCTGGTCTGCATTCTGATTTAAAGTTGATTCTACTCTGGAGAAAAGGCATTCCGACCCCACCCCATATAAACTGGATTTACTGAAATGAGATGGACGGGGTACCAATATTATCAAATTCGTTAGGTTGCGACACGAATGATTTTTGACACACAGATCAATACAAGTTGTCAGGCAGATAAGAAAGAAGGCCAAACTTCAGTACAGAAGCTTCGCCTCTTCGCCTCTATCTGATTTCCTATCATTCGTAATCATCCCTTGAATGATCGGTGGTTCCCCTTGAGTCTGCCCCCCCCTCCCCTAGAAAACTTTTCGACGAGAGAACTCGTAATAACGCAGCGGCGACCTTCAAGCTCCTCGTTCACTGGGCCGAGGAGGCTTTGAAAGGCGCCAGTCCCGTTAAGCAAATGACAACTTTTGAAAAAAATCTGCTATGGGAAATAGCTCGAAATTAAATACATTGGTGTTTGCAGAGACGTCGAAAGCAAAAGCAGGTCTTCAGTTTAACAATTGGCGGGGGTGCTCGCCAGAGAGTGACTTTCCTTCTGATAAGAAATGTTTTTACTTTCTTTGACAAATACGTTTTTCAAACCGCAAAAGCCACCCGGTCCAGGTCATTTCCTCCCGCCATTTGCCCCCCCCCTCGCCGTGAGAAGTAACATCCTCAAGAGATTTAATGCCTCATTCCTCTTCAGGTTTACTTGGAAGCAAACCCCCCATGACGTCAATGAGTTCAATTTCCACTCCGTAAGACTTTAGTTCCGCGTGGTTACTCGCGTGTAAGTCCAACTGAAATCCAGGGCGGTGGAGAATAATTTACCAGTAAAACAGCCGTAAGATTGGACTGAGGTGGAGTTTAATGACAGCACAAACCTAACCACGCCAACTCAGAAGAAAGATCCTATTGAGTTGCGCGGGCGAGGGGGGGGCTTACTCTCAAGCATTGCGGTTTGGCTTGTCGCCTTAGACAGAAGTCACTGAAAGCAGGAAGAAAGCCTGTTCCGAGATGTAGATATATATACAGAAATGCCGGATAGAAACCGAAAGAAACATAGTTGCGTGGAACGGAAAAAGGCGCAGCTTTATTCTGGAGCATATCTCACTGAAATCTAGGAGGCTTGATGCAGAGTAAACAACGCGGCCCAGGATGAGACTTCCAAACGGAAGCTTTTTTCCTCCAGGCCAGAATAGGATCTGCAACGAGCAATACCTCTGCAGTTCCTGGTGGGTTTTATGTTTCCTTTGGAAGGAGAAACTGACAGAATGGAAAAGCGGCACAGGAAAAGATCAGGTCGTTGGATCGAGGGAGGCCATCCCTTTCGATAGCGGTTTTCCTGTAGCTCTGAATAGCGCGACTACATCTCCTGTGTTGCAAGTTAAGACCTACTTTGTTCAGTGGGCCTGGCTCCCAAGCATGGCTGCGATCCAGATACCCCTTGACCCTATTGAACTCAAGCGGACTCACTTCTGCGAGGACGCGGTCAAAACTTCCGACTTGCGGCCCCATCCGAAGCTGGTTTACTCGGAAGCAACTCCCGCACGCGAGGTTCAATGCGTAGCTTCCTTGCTCGTAAACATGCTCAGTAAATGCAGGTTTAATTTAAATAAAATAAAACCAATAACAATTTTTTTAAAAAAATATAAAAAGTAAAATTCCATCCTCGGCCTGTTTATACAAAAGGCCCGGATCTTGGCCACGCGCTCCTCCTTCTTTTCCAATTTTGTGGGCGCATCCAGGATTAACAGCTGGGCCTGTAGAAAAAGGCAGGTGGTATTCTGGACCCAGGCAGGGTCCCCCACTGGGGAATTCCTGCCCTTAAGTCCAGGTCTTTTCTGTTTCCAACCTCCCCCCCCATCCCACCCCCATTAACCAATTAAAATTTCAGTTGCTAAGAAAGAGAGACGGAAATTCTTTTTAAAACCTTCTTCATTCCCCCCCCGCCCCAACCGTAAATTGTGTTGGATTTCAGCCACAAACATATACCCCCCCCAAAAAAAAGCATTTTACATTACCATGCAACATTTTTTTTTTTGCTCTTTACTTGCTGTTTTTAAAGGCCGAGTTGCTACAGTGGAAACATCAAGGATATATTTAGAAACGTGGAACTCTAACATCAAGAGGTGTCTCCTTCTTCACGTTTATTTTATTTCTCCTGTTCTTCCTTTTCTCTTCCCCCCTTTCCTCCACTTTTCTCTCCTTCTTTTACCTCCTTCCTTTAGCTCTGTCTTCATTTTCCCTTTCTTTTTTCCCTTCTTTCCCCCTTTCTTCTCTCTCTCTCTCTCTCTCTCTCTCTCTCATTCCCTCCTTTTTCTCTCCCTCTTCCTCAGAGGAACTTCCCTGAACTTCAAACCCCAATCTCCACTTTCTCAATCTCTCCCTTCTTCCCACCTCATCACAACTCCAGAATCAGGTTCTCTGCCAACAGCATCACCCTTAAAAACATAGGTTCTTCCTCCTAAGCTCACAGTTCTTTGCACTGACTGGCAGCGCCTCTCCAGGGTTTCAGACACGAGATAATTCGCAGCCCTCCATGGAGAGATGCCAGGAATTGAGCGAGGCGGGTGCTTAACCGCTGAGCGACGGCCCTACCCTTAACGCCCCCACCTTCCCCTCAGGTACACAGCGCCAACTTTCTCTCTGTCCTAGCCCCCTAGTCTAAGCTGAACATCAAAGCATAAAGAGGGGTCTATTTTGAGAGAGAGAGAGGGAATGATTTCTTATTTAGCTTTTCAAATATCAAATTCATTTATTTGCCGCCCGCCCCGCCCCCCCCCGCAAAGTAAACATTCTGTAGAGGTCAGTGCCACTGATTCCAGGACACCCCCTTTATTTCTTATAAAGAGAGGAGGGGTGCGGAGAAGAAACAGACTTGTTTGCGCCTTCCATCCATCAATGAAAGAGCATCTCATGTTTAAGAGATATTCATGCCTATCTGGACTCGGTTTCTGGTTGAAGGGTTTCCCATATCCCTGGTGGCTCAATTAAGTGGATTATTGTCTTCCTACAGAGAGAAATCAACGCGCGTGGAGGCTGAGCTTTGTCGCTCCTAAACCCTGCCACAATGAAATTTACCATAAACCCCTGTAAAAAAGCTAATGCGGCCAATTTATATAAACCGGAGCCAGCTTCCCCCCACCCTATAGATAAACATAATCTCTTTAAGAACAGAGATAAAGGGGGTGGGCGAGAGAAAGGGGGGAGGAACTGCAGGCCGTAGCCATTTCTTTCAGAGTTACCAGCTTTCACCCTTTATTTTTGCTTTCCATCAATCCGAAATGCCCTTTTTATCGAAAGGGATATGTCTTGCACCAAGGGGGGGGGGTCGGTTTCAATCCGGATTGAACAGGAGTGACTCCCGTGCGATCTGGGGAAAAAGTAAATCTGTGTTCAAGGGAAGGAAGGAGAGGGGAGCGCTAATGATTTCTGGCAATATCTAGTACCCCCTTCCAATGGCTCAGTGTGAAACCACTTTAAATTCGCTGTTGTTTAACACAGAAAGAAAGGGATAATGGGGGGGTGGGGTATCAGAGCTGAGGGGAGAAGGCAGAAGTTTGACCTCCCTTGCTACTTTTATTTGACAACTGCCCTTATTGGGTTCAGTTGCCCGTTCATACATCAGGCTCCCTGCCTAACCCGAATATATACAAAATGTATTGTGAATCAATCAGAAAAATGGGCTGCCCTCCAATTGTGACCTAGCTCTACCGAAAGCCTTCTTTTCGGGCAACCCAGAAAGTTGAGGCAGTTTTCTTTTCCTTTATTGTGCCTTGAGAGAGGGAGGGGGTGGGGGGAAGGGGAAAGTCTGCACCTCTCAATATATATAAAATATCTGGAGAGAGAAAGGGGGGGAAGGGAGTCGTTTGTTCTTTTTCCTTGGATAGATAAGCGATCCTTTGTTTTTGTTTTGTTTTGGGATGGGAAGCCTCAGGAACGCCTACTTTGGGGTGGTCTTTAGCGGGCTGGAGAGAGCTGTAGGTTCGAATCCTCAGTCAGGCCTCTGTGGCAGGACTTGAGTCAAGCCTACTTCGCAGGTTGATTGTGAGGATAAAGTTGGATACCACACGCAACTCTTCGGAGCGAGGGCGGGCTTCAAATGTGGTGATGACGGCGGCAATAATACACGGATTAATGCCAGTTTTATCCCAAAACTAACAACAACAGCAGCAGCAGCAGCAGCAGCAGCAACTGTAATCCCATTTCTTTTGGAAGTTTCTCTAGGAATTTGAGGAAGCTGATCAGATCCGATTTCTTTCAGAGTTAATCCCTGAAGCAACAAAATCTGGGTGCTGTCATAATTCTCAAAATTTAAAACCGCGATCTGACATCACTTACCTGGGAGTCAGCTCCATTGAACTCAGTGGGTTTACTTCTGAGCAGCCCTAGGTAGGGTGGCATAGCTTACTGTTCAGTGATGGAAACTTTATTGTCAGCGGAGGTGAGAAAGTCTGGGGAGGGGGCACGGAACCCCGCCAATAAAATAATGGAGAAAAAAAGGATTTTGTGGGGAAAACGGGGGAAATTTGAATTTTAAGAAAAGTCAGAGGCCCAAGCACACTGATAGAGGCATAAATCCCTTAGAACTCGCTGGGACATTTCTGAGTAGATCCAAGCAACTAAAATGACGCCCATTTACCTGGGAGGAACCCTCGTGGAATTCAGCGAGGCTTGCTTCTTCTAACAAGGCATTTTAGGGTTGCAGTAAATATTGGGGAGGGGGTTTAGGCTGCGTCCTATCCTGGCGTTTACTTCGAGATAAGCTTGACAGATCTCGGTGGGATTTGCTCCCAAATAAACGTGCACAGAATCGGGTCGTACAGCACGTGCTTCGCTCTGGTTTGAAATCAGTGGGAGGCGGGCAGTGTGTTCACCGGGAAGAAAGCACCATTGACTTCATTGAGACTTACTCCCAGGTAGAAGTGCATAACCTGGCTGGCGCCCTTGAAAGTGCTCAGTTTTGTCCGCATTGCATCTTCAGAAGGACAACGCGGGTACCCTCAAAACCAAGATTAAAATGTCAATTTTAAAATTCAATTCAATTTGACTTGTTTGGTTTATTCCTCTGCTTTTAACCCCGCGAAAGGAAGACTCGTTTGCCTCAGATACCGAAATTTCTCTGGGTTGTATGCAAAAGGTAGTGCTACTCAGAGTTGACGTATTGAAAATAATTAGTTTAAATGGGTCTACTCTGAGTAAAATTTAACTGGCTGAAACCCAAAGGCTTTGTTGAATCTGTATGGATTTAGGGTGGTGTGTTACTTACTTTAGCATTCATTAATTCAGATTATCACTAATTCCAGTTGCAAAAACCTCGGATTTATTTCCATTATAGAGAACAAAATCAGAGCTGTCTCCAATTAGTTTTTACTCTGAGTAGCCTCGCCGAAGTCAATGGATCTAGTCACGCTCATTAAGTTTCAGTGGGTCCGGTCTGAGTACTGTAATGGGTAACGTTGGCTACAGATCACAGTTAAAACGAATTAAAGTACTGTACCTATAGTTTAAACCGGAGTGCAAATCCGGCATCCCATAATTTTTGACACTCTTTGTTAGGAATAAGATATTTTCTAAAATTTCCAGGTTCGTTTCGTATAGCCGGACCCTAGGCATGTTTTACACAGAAGTAACTCCCATTGGGTTGAGTGGCGTTTACTTCCCTATCGTCTTCCCTGTTACTTGTGAGTAAATTGTACGGATCGTGTTGAGACTCCATCTCAAGCCCATACGTTTATTCCTGTTAATCTAGTTGTCTTGCCTTCTTTAAAAAAAATCCGTTTGCCCGAAGGATGCAATCTATAATTTGTGAAAAAAACTAACTTCAGTAGTAGTTTCCTGGCATTTCTGGTGCGCATCTCGATCCTACCCGTGTTTACCTGGAAGTAACAGTGCAATCTGTTCCAGAATGACACAATGAACACCGAATTTATTTTATTTAAGCGGGGGGTGGGGATAGTTTCCTTTAAGATCAATATTTATATATTATTCCGTGAAGAACATTTTGGACAGCACCTGAAGTTAAGCGCTGTGACATCCCCTTAATTTCAGGGTTTGTACTAAAAGGCTTAGGGACTAGAAATATGTTTGAATAAATAAGTAATTTTAAGGGGAAATGTTTCAAGGGCTTGCTTAACTCTTTGGCACTTAAATCAGGCTGAACTGGATCGCTGACGCAGACGACTGTGAACCCAGCCCTGAGGTCGATATGATATTGGGAGGGCTATAAATAATTTTAATAATAAAATAAATAATGTGTACGCATGCATATAGATATTTGTGTGTGTGGTTAAATTTACTGTCCTCTTGGAATATATTGAGATATCTCTCCCTCCCCAGTATCTCAGGTCGAGGGTATCTCGAATTTAAGTGACTAGTTCTCATGAAGTACCTTCGGTTTATAATACAATTACGCTGTTCCTAACTGGGCTCACGAACGGACTTCTTTGACTTATTAATGGGCCTTTCTTGTGAGTAAACATACCTAAAAGGAGGATCTTAAGGCTGCAACCTTATCCACATTTCACTGACGAGGAAGCCCCATAGAAAGCTATGGAAGTTACTTCCGAGTAAACAGGCATAGGGATCTCATAGAAAGGGGCGCGGGCCCGCGCAAGAGAAACGAGCAGCGGCCCGCGCCCCTCGCCGAGGCGTCTGGTCTCTTCACTTGTCTTCCCTCCCGCGTTTGATAAGGGGACTTTCCCTTCTAATCTGTCTGCACTGATTGTGGCAACGCCTTTTCTCTTCCGCCCCCCTTCCCCCCTGGCTCAGTGAAAGAAGAAGGGGACAGAGAGATCTCCAGTTCCAGAGAGAGCCCCCCAGTGAGGCTGAAAAAGCCGCGCAAGGCCCGCACAGCCTTCACGGATCACCAGCTGGCCCAACTGGAGCGGAGTTTCGAGCGGCAGAAATACTTGAGCGTGCAGGACAGAATGGAGCTGGCCGCGTCCCTCAACCTCACAGACACCCAAGTAAAGACCTGGTACCAGAACAGAAGGTAAAAAGAGAGCGGGAGAGAGAGCGGGGGTGGGTGGGTGGGTGGCAAGGCAAGGAGGAGGAGGCGGGGCACCTTTCACCTCCCTTACTTCGGATTAGTTACCCTGGAAAAGGGTATTGTTCCTCCCACTCTGGTTTTCGAAGAGCGCAGTTCTATGCAAGTTTTTGCTCGAAAATTAAATCCTGTCGCTTGCAGGAAAGTTTGTTTTGGATGGCATCCTAAATCTTTGGGTGAAGGTTGGGAAGAGAGCCTACTTCAGGGGTTGCAAAAAGCAGAGGAAAGGGTGGTAGTTACTCTGCGGTGGTTACTCTTTTTAATAATAATAATAATAATAATAATAATAATAATAATAATAATAAATGTCATCCTTTACTTTAAACTTCTTTGGCAAAACGCTGTGCCTCCCCAACACTGGACGGGAAAAAATCAAATCCACAAACTCGAGCTGTTACCAAAGTAATTAACACAGAGAGAGAGAAATTCTGTTTCTGCTTCAGTTTAGTTGAAGGAATTTAGTTTTGAAAGATGCATGTATATATATTAACCGCCCCCCCCCCCCGTACTCCAACTCTAACTCCCATCATCTCTGTCCATTGACCGTGGTGGCTGGCGCTGATGGGAATCGGAGTCCAACTGCATCTAAAGGACCAGTTTCCCCTCCCCTGACCTAATAAAATATTATTTTTAATATAGTCAGCTTCAATGCCGCAGTGACACTTGCACACTTTTAAACTACACAGAGCTCTTCCAAGGTACCACAGTAAAGGCGTGCAAGGTTTTTTGGTTACACAAGGCTCTTGGTCAGATTATTAGGGGAAAGTATTCGAACACCCAAAGAGTTAGTTTACTAATATTCTTAAAGGTCTCCTTAAATAAATAAAATAAAGGAAAAAGGTTCTAGGTGTCCTGGAAGAGATTCAGATATACAAGCATTTTAAAAGCGCTATATGAATGGTAAGTTTGATGATCAGCAGTATTTCAAGCGAAATATTAGTTGCGTGCGTGCATAGACAGAGCAAAGTTGGCTACAAGTCTTTTTTGGAGCGCGGGGGGTGATCTAGGAACGTAAAGTTTGTGCAAAGGTAAACTAGCCTGTACGTTCCAAGGGCATGTAAAATACTTCACGCTTACATTTTAGTGTGGCGTCGCTTACTTTGTATTTTAATTAAAATCCTTGAGTGCAACGATCTCCATCTCTCCCCCCCCCCGGGGGGGGACAGAGGGCTGTTTAACCCTTTCCTCCTCCTCAACATTCCAGATCAAACTCCCAGAAGGGCGAACGGGAAGGAACCGGGGAGGGTGAAATTAGCAGAGCTACCTATATCCTGTTTTGTCTAGTAACCAGGTAAACCACAAACACCCACAGATCTGAAACTGCTGGGCCCCGAAGAAAAACGCGCTTTTCCTGATATCTACCTGTGCAGCCCTGACACGTACAAAGAAAGTTTGTCAAAATCTGGGGCTCCTGATAGTGTTGGTTGCTTTAAAAGACCAAACACGGGTCCTCGATCTCTTCGTTCGCCCGCGCACAGACACAAGCACGCACAGTCCCCGGATTATTTTGCCTTCGCTGACTTGCACCTGAACGTGTGAATGGTTTCTGCCAACTCTAATGGCGTCGGAGGTGATTCTGAGGTCCTCCCTATGGTTTTGGATCCTCGTTGGCTGGCTGAATGCTGCAGCGATGACCATACATATGGGTAAATTTGGGTGTCTAAATTTTGACACAGAATCTTCACTTTTGCTCAGAACTGAACGGTCATGACTAACGTAGGCCCGTCACTGTCAGTGGGTCTACTCTGAGTAAAGGTTAGTGGAATACAACGCAAAAAGTCGTTCCACACATTACCTTCCAGCAACCCCGAGTTTGGGCAAGGAACAGCAGCCAGTTCTGTGTCTCTGCATGGTAATTCGCCCCCCCAAAAAATAACCCCACCCCACACAGCTCTGCTTCAGTCATATATCATATATCACATTGGCTACTTGTCCTGGGATTATGGGAGTTGGAGTCCAGCAACGTCTGGAGAACCAAAGCTTCCCCATACCTCTTGCTTGCCCCTTAAAACATAACGTCTTTCTCTCCCCACAGTTTGGGTGTTTGTAAACAGTCAGGATCCGATCCCGAAAATAAATGTAAAATTCATACACAGGCGCAAGCAAATCATCCCACGCTTTAGTCCCATCTCTTTCCCTAGCCTGCACCAGCTTGCGTGTTATTAAATCCAGACGTGCTGAAATGAAATCGTGCCTGGTTTCAAAATGAGCGAGATTTCCCCATTTGGAAATTAGCGCTTTAACAACTGGCTCAGATTGTTGCCAAGCTCACCTTTTGGTAGCCAGAGGTTCAAACCAGCACTTAGCAAATTTGAAGGTGCGTTCCTCTTATTATTATGTAGATTTTTTTAAAAAAAGAGTTAATTGCATTCTTTGGTTAGAACTGTCCTTTTCTTTGCACATATCGGAGGCTATATTTGAGCTGTAAATGAGCCAAGGACGGTACCACGCTCTGATTTTGGGGGACATTAACACAACCTGTTTATTGATTTGTTTGCAGGGAGATTAGACGAGGTCGCCTGTTTTAATGAGCATTAATTCTGATTTGTTTGCACGGCGGTGAGACGACGCTGCGCCAAAGCAAGTCTCACTCACACGATTTTCAGCTCACTTCCCCTACTTTCCTCATCCCAAAAAGTCATACATTTCGCGGGAAGTGGTTCAGCTATAATTGTGTGCCTGACTTGAAGTGGGTAGGTAGCTGAATTTCCACCTGAAAATAGCTGCAACCTTTCTCTCCTCATACGAAGGTCCTCACTGTTCATCTTAAATACCTTTCCTTCCCATTCCTCAACGCTGAGCTCCTTTGCAGGAATATTTATTCTGCAGGGAGTGTGAGAACACACACACAGGGTTGCTAACTTTTCTTTATTAGAGCTGCTCTCGTGCTTTTCAGGGACCCAGCCGGAGGAAGCTTTTCCCACCAGCCATCACCCTTCCAGGGAAAGGTATACGTACCTAAGGTGTGTTTGGGAGTCAGGCTGATGCCAAAGGGCAGAGGAGCAGGGGTGGCCGAGAAAGGGTGGCAACTCATTACATGGAATCAGGGGCACGCAGTGCGAGGCTAGATATGGTTTACTCAGAAGTAAGTCTCATTTTGTTCCAGTTTTAATTTGAGCCAATGGGCTGTTTCAGCTTCGGTCATACCCAGAGCAGACCCATTGAAATTTATGACCAACTTGGCTCCATTAATTTCAGTGGGTCCACCTTGAGTATAACTCAGCAGGATACTATCCAATATTTTCAGGAATACTGCTGAATGCAGAAGCAATTTATAAAAGAGGAATGGCAGACGAGGGCGCCTCTGAGCATTTAAGGTGTGCTCTTCTCGAAGGTAAGAGAACACCCACATCTGCGTCAGGAATAAAGTCGTTTAAATCAAAATATATCAGTCAAAGAACATTTCAATCAAGGTCAAACTTAAATTTTCGCTGTTCACAATGGATATCTGACTCCGTCGAGTTTCCTCTTCCAATAGGAAGACGCCCTGGAACTAAGTCCAAAAATTGGAGGTTGATAAAGTAAGAGATTTTAGGCAGTGGCAGGCGTGAAAAGAATTGCATTGTTATAGCGCTTTGGCTTCCACCAAACGAATACTGGGAACTATAGTTTACCCCGCCACGGTGCTACACTTCCTAGCACAATTAACAATCAGCAGTTCCCAGTTTCTTGGCGCGATGTCATGTTCTTTAAAGTACGGTATGTAGGCAGTCAAAAAAAGAGACCTTCTGGCTGATTTGCGGGGCAGTTCCAACTCGGTTTATTAAAAAATAAGTCCCATTGAGTTCCATGTGAAAACGGGCATATGGCTGCAGCCAACGCCGCGGTTCTTTTTACTGAGATCGCCTTCTTGCTAACCAAGACTGGAGAACACGTATTCCCAGTCCAGTATTAACCTCACGGCAAACCATAAATGGAACTCCAACAAAAGGGAATAAAGGCCTTTATAGAAAGCGTGTAGAATGCTGCGATATGGAAAAGGAAATGTCCGTTGAGATGTGCAAATGCATCACTCGATGAGCAGATAGCAAGTTAAACGTGTGAACGGTCTCTCCACGGGAGCTGACACGGGAGTTAAATCTCATTGGCAGCAACGAGGCTTCTTTCCGAGTAAGCCTGCCTAGGAGCACAATTGCCTCCTTTCCTCAAAAATGCCCCTTTTCCTGAGAGACCTGTGGCTTTAACCCTTTAGTCCTCAACCCCTATGAAAAGAAACTAGTCTACACATAATTTGCATTTACCAATATTTCTCTCTTAACCGGCTCGGGCCTTTCCCCAGTGGCTAAATGCAGACTGTAAGCTCTTGAGGGACGAGACCTGTTACATTTCTTTGTGACTCTCAGAGGAGGGGTGTGGCATATACATTGATGGTACTATATAAATAAATAATCATTATTATTTAAATTATTTATTGCCCACTTTCCTCCCTAACCTCTTCATAAAAAAATCCCAATAATGGGATATCTATCCAACGAAGTCCTTTTCAGAGTAGACCCTGTCGAAATGGCTGTTGCTAAATTACTTAAGTCCATCAGTTTAAATAGACATGCAGTTGTTTAGAAGGAATAATAATAATAATAATAATAATAATAATAATAATAATATGTATCCATTGCTAGTCCCACTCAGAGTAGATCCACAAAAAACAATGGACATGACTAATTTAAATCCAATAATTTCAGTGTGCGTGCTCTGAGTAGAACCCAGCAATAATAGTTACTATTATTTTTATTGTTATTTGGCATATAGAGAAAAGAAGAAGTTGAACACTCAGCCTCGTGCACGTACCCATTTCCCACATTACAGACAGGTTTCAAGACTCAACACGTGTGTTTTTTCCAATCCTTTCCTTCCCTCCACCAGTTTCTGTTCCTGGTTTTTTTAAGGTTCGATTTTGTTATATGAAGCCTGTTTTTGTAAATAAATCTCTTCCCACCAATCGCAAT